TTGAAGGATGCCCCCGCCGCCTTGACGAGTTTCACGGTAAGTGGGGCAGGTGGCATGTCCCAGGAATTCGCAATCTGGCACCAAGTCTTCCAGCGTGCTGATCTGGGGTCTCGGCTGGAGGGTGCGTATGTCTCGTCTTCTAGGAGTTGTAGTGCCTGCTCGCGTGAGGTAGGCGCTCCCGCCGCAATGGCTCTGTTGAGAGAGCCGTGTCGTGTGGTGTGATATGGTTGGATGTCGCGCCGGACCGGGGGCATGTAGTCAAGGACCAGTTGGTCGTCGCCCAGGAGTCGATTGATCAGGTCGTGTGGCACGCCGATCCGCACCAATGCAGCCCGGTCCATGTTGCGGAATGTCGCCAAGTCGTCTATTCCGGCTAGGGCAACGAGCGGGGCGATCGCCAGCAAGGACCGCTGGTGTAGCCATGCTCGAATGTCACGGAACGTCATCTCGGGGTGATCTGTATCAAGGGCCGAGAGGGGCCAAAAATGGCTATGTAAAATGTATCAAAGGTTTGCCACACGTGGAGACAAAAGCACAATGCAAACAATCAAGGTGAGCAAAAGTTCGGGGGAATTTAGGGGTGTTTGGCTTCAAACACATGGTGCGCCTTTTGCTCTTTGCACGGGTGTCCTGACGTACTGCCAAACGAGGTTGCACTTCGGCGGCAGGTTCAGGAAGATGGGTCGTGCGAAGGCAACCGCGTTGGTCGGACCCTCCGGGCTCGCGCGGGACACGGACGCCCTTCGGGTCGTAGTGGTTGCGGTGATGGTCGAGGTCCGTCACAGGGCGCTCAAGTGGTTGAGACGGTCCGCCCCCTCGAGGTCTTGGCAGGTCCAGAGCTTGAGGCGGCAAAAGCACAGCCCCATCACTCTGGCGAGGTCCGAGGACTCAAGGATGCGGGTGGAACTGGGGTCGTAGCGATATCGCCGCATGTCGTAGAAGGGCGTGGCGGGTTGGTGGCGTTGTCGTTTCTGGCTGGGGAGCAGGTCGACTCGGAGTGGCTTGATGCGTCCCAGGTTGCGCTGGGCGACTTGCTCCAGCTTCTCTTGGGTCCAGAAGGTCCTGTGCATGTATGGCAGTTTCTGAGCCGTCTGCATGTTGTTCATGATCATGTCGGCCAGATAGGCGCGGGGGTCCTTGGCTTGTCGCAGGTCGGATGCGATCTCGTTGATGTGGACCTTCATCTGTTGGATGAGCTTGCCGGTCGTGTCCTCCTCCCAGCGAAGAAGGTAGAGCATGTAGCGCCGGTCGTCGTCGCCGGTGATGGCCTCTGCCAATTGGTCCGTCTCGTGTGCTCCAGCGGTGGCGCGTACCACGAGGCACTTCTGGGCCGGCACGAAGCGTTCTGTGTCGTCTTGGCCGGCTGCGGTCAGGGCCTCCCCTCGGGATGCGGCTTTGGCGTCACTGTAGGTTTTCCAGGGGTGGTATTGCTGGAGGCACTCGGGACAGAAGAACTGGCCGTGCTCGGTGATGTTGGCGGTGGCGCGCAGCCAATGTGACGAATGTACCACCGCTTTGCACGACTGACGTCGGCAGATAAAGTGCTCGTCGGTGGACGGGAGGACGCGGGTGATGAAATCGGTGAGGTGTGTGGGATAGTCGTCAGAGTCCAAGAACTCAAGGAGGGTCCCGGTGCTGTTTGCGCGCAATGCCTCGGTGAGGTGCTGCCTCTCCCATTTGTGGAACATGAGGAATAGGTCTCGTCGGTCCTCGGGTGCCAGGTTGATGAGGTCGAGGCACATGGTTTCGGCGAGGAACTTGGAGTGGTCGCTGATGAGGCGGCGCAGGTGGTTGTTGGAGGTTCCGGGGTGGATCTCGCGCAAGGAGTCCATCATGTCCATGTGGGTGTTCGTGCGGATGGTGCCGACGGCCTTGTTGGTCATGTAGTCCAAGCGGCGTCGCCATGCTCGTCGGCACAGCTTGCTGAACACCTCGAGGGTGAATGGCCGGCGGTTCTTCACGTCGAGGGCTGGTACCCTGATCCAGCGGCGGTTGACCTGGTCCCACCTGTGCACGGTGATGTAGGCGTCGTGAGCGTCGTCCGTCTCTGGCACCGCAATCTGTAAGGTCGGTGGGGCGATGGTATGGTCGCTGATCATGGCCGCGAGGTCGGGGTGCTCTGCGATGGTGTTGTACGGTGCGTGTTCTGCAATCAGGGAGTTCGGGTCGGCCAGGAGCTCCTCGAACTGGAACCACGGCACGCTACTGGTGTCGCAGGTAGCGCACCCGTAGCACGCCCCGACCCACTTGTTTCGCCAGTCGGTTTCCTCTGAGAAGCAGAGGGGCATGATGTACTGGGATTGGTATGGGATCTGGCAGAACGAGCACTGCAGTGTGGCTGGTGTTGGATTCAGGTTGTGCCAGTCCAGCAGCAGGTAGCGTGTCCGTGTGTCCGGCTCGGTGTTGGTCGACTCCATGAAGAGGTCGATCGCGTCCGTGGTGGAGAGGCGGGGATTCTCGGTGCGGAAGGTCTGGAACCTCGAGAGGACGCCGGTGTTGTAGGACCGCAGGAGGAGCTCGCAGACTGCGTCGGTCTCGCGAAGTGCCATGTTGTGCGAAGGGGGTGCGATATCGGATACACAAAAGCCAGCCTGAAAATTCCTTCGGAATTGGAGGTGGCGCTTGCCGAACTCACGCAGGAGTCGGTAGTGTGCCGGGTGTGAGTCAAAGGGGGGGGGGTTGGTCGGGCCAGGGGGGTGTGTCTAGGTGACTCGGGTCCAAGGATGGCCCGTTGATGGGGGGGATCTGTACGACGCGCCACACCGGCACAAACGTCGTGTTAGATGACACGCCACACCGGCACAAATGTCATCCCGAGGGGTGGAGCTGTCCCGTAGGACCAACTCCCTGCGGTGTGAAGGTGACCGGGGTCGGCCAGTTTGTCATCAGGGATCCGACCCGAAGAAACCGAGGGTAATCCACAGGGGATCCGAAGTGGGGTGAAAGACCGGTCGGGTTCGGGGCAGGCGAGTGGGGATTGGTCACCGCAGTATGGGCCTCAGCAGTGGGTCGGTTTGTCAAGGGGTATCCTCTCGAATCAAACAGGGGGGACGAAGAGGGTCGACCCGGGCTCGAGGCTCTCAGCGCTTTTGCGCGGTCCGAAGATGGATCTCTCTTCGGGAAAAGGGGGCCTCAGGCGGTCGCCTAGGCATGGGTGTCACCTGTGCGGTATGAGGGTCATCGCCCTATTGCTGGCCCACCATCGCACGGGACATGGACTTGGTGGGTCAACTTAGGGTGGCGGGTTTGGAGACTCCTCGGTGCCGCCTGGTCAGTAGCGGGAGTCCTGGCTCTGCTCAGTCTTAGAGCTCCCGGTTGAAGCGCAGGTGTCCGTCGGGGCCGAGCAGGATGCCCTCGATGGTCGCCATGGTGCGTTGTTCGGGGGTCAGGAAATTGGAAATTGTCTCAATGATGGTCTCCCCGAAGGTGATTGCCATGTTGTCCACAAAAGGGTCTCGCCGGGAGGCGCGACAGAGCTGCCTCCCGAAGGTAAGCCAGGAACAGGTCAGTTGTTGTAGCATGTGCTGCCGGTTGGCGCTGTTGAGCAGCTGGAGTTGTTGGTGAACGTGTTGCTGGATAATCCAGCGCAGCAGGCTCCTGAGAGGTGTGACCTGCGTGGTTGGTTCCACGGGTACAAGAAAAAGGCCCCCGAAGTCATTGCCGTACACATTGGTGGGAGTGCGCGAGAAGATGCCGTAGTTGGTCAGGTGCCATTGCAAGCCGATGTGGTCGAGGACGGAGGGGAATTCCGGTAGCAGTTCCGGATTGATCAGGAAGGTAGCATCTTCGTGTACCCGCGCGCGGATGTGTCCGGCCCGCTGGGTTGACAGCAGGCCTTGTGTGCTGTCGTCACGGTCGATGCCTGGCGGCTGGAGCCACTGGACTAAGTCATAATGTTGGTTGGATGGTGTGGGGGGTGCCGCCTTGGATGGTGTGGTGGGTTGCGGGCGTGGTGAAGGCATGTGGTGCGGGACGGGCCCGGTCGATGTGGTGGTCGCCTCCGGGAATCGGGCCTGTCTGGGAGTGTCGCGAGCCGTGGGTGTCGCGAAGTTGACGGTCCTCGGTGGTGTCATAGCTCGGGAGTATCCCGGTTGTGTGGAGCGGCCTCGCTGCTGTCGGGGGGTGTTGTTCCGTTGGCGAGACGGGTTCAATGTGCTTGGCGGGCCACGTGGTACCGCGTATGGCGTCTGGTAGGTGCACGGATCGGGGTACCGAACGTTCATGTGGTGAATGGGCGTGTTCCACTCGCCGTGAAGGTGGTCGCGGAGGATTTCAAAGGCCTCCCGCCTGGACACGAAGCGCCATTCACGGTGGGCTGTGTCATAGTGGATGCCCACGCCGGTGTTGGGTCTGGCATGGTGCACGAAGCGCAGCCAGGCAAGAAGGTCACCATGCAGGACTGAGTCGCTGTGAACATGGCGGCATTCGGCACCACTGTCGCAAAAGCCTTCTGGATGCCGGGCCTGTTGTCGAAGATGTCGGTAACAGATGTTGTCTCGCGGCATCCAACGCGCATCAACGAACTCCGGATGCAAAAAGGCGCACTGGTGGGCAGAGGCAGGTGCACGTCCCCTGCAGCCGGAATGGTTGATGAACTGGTTGCAGACCTGATTGCCCTGCAAGATGTTGCCCGGACCGACCGCCTCGGGCAGGATCGAAAGATGGTCTTGAAGGGCCCGGTACAGTCGTTCATAATCCGGGTCGAGCTCGGTCATTTCCATGAGCTGGTACTCCTCCACGATGGATGCGAAATTCGCTGGAGCAGTCATGGCGGTCGAGCAGGCAGGGCAGGTAGGTCGGAAAGAAAGAAAAATTTGGCTAATTCGCCAAAATGGCGAACGGAGCATGAATCAAGCAGTGTCATCCTGCAGGCACTCAAGGTTCGAATCTGAGTGTGATTCAAATGCCTTCCGCTATCGGTTGTTACTTTTAACACAAGTGTTAACCGCAACAATTCGCCCTGAGGGTGGCAAACTTCCTATTTGGTTCCGCTTCCCGGCCTAGCGACCGCATTTCGGACAGCAGCCCCAGGCAGTCTTGCCAGCGCTTTGCCCTCGCAAAGGCTCCCATCACTGCGGTGTAGGTGAAGACCTGAAAGGCGCGTGAACCGATGGCTGGAAGCGCTTGGACGTGTCCTTTTCTGTGAGGGCACCCTTTTTGGGGTGGTTTTTGAAAGGAAACCCAAAGGGCAAATGCCAGTTTGTGGGTCCCTCTATATGAAGGCACACCCAAGTGATGAGCCCAAATCAGCCCAACTTCGCCCAAATCCGATCGGCTCAAATCCGGCTTCCCCTGAGCGGCATTTGGCACCAGGCGGTGCTCCGGGATCTCCTCAGCGAGGGGAAAGTCCACACCACCCCACCCGTCCGATCAACACCCCCCCATGGGTGGTGAAATGTGCTGGGTGCTTGTCTTGTGCGAGCGGGTGCTTGAAACCGCAACCTGACCAAACCTGGACTTGTGAGTGTTTGTGAGGGGAAACCCTTGGCGTTAGCTTTTGATGACCAAAGAGAAGCCATTTGATGACCCCTTCTGGGGGCTCGAGGTGTCACAAATGAAGTGACGGTTGGTTCTACCAAAAACAAGCTTTATAGGGGCGTCGCCTTTTAGGGGGTTGGGTTCCTTGTGTCTTTCATGCAAGGCGAGCGGCTTACTATCCCTAGCGTTGATGACCATCCTGGCAAACCTCCTGTAATCGGACCGGATCATGTGGGTTGTCTTGTCCTTCCATCTTTGGGCACCTCCAGTCAACATTGCAAGCCACCGGGGGCAAGACCTAGGGGCAAAATCCTGGTTACCTTCTCCAGCTGGAAGTACTGGAGTGCAGCTTGAGACCAAGCAACTTGGTTTGTCAAGTTTGAAACCAAATCCGCAAAGGGTACCCCGATATCCCAAAGAAGTTGCTCCCATTTGCACCTATCTGATATCGCCGAAGTAGGTCTGCCATTACTTGGCATGCATTACATGCATTAAATGGTTGCCTGATCAGGTCTGTGCCCCCAACATCGAAAAATGAGCACACAGAAAAACACACATCCACATCGTGTTGGTTCTTGTGATTGTATGTGGCGCGTGGTTTCATATGGACCCATATCCGGGTCAGAATTACACCAGGATATGAACCGCAGGCTTTGCTAACAGTTGGAGATTCCAATCTTTGACTCGCGTATCAACCCCCAACCCATCTCCCCCCCCAACCCCAACCCACCACACACACCCCACACCCAACCCACGCAACCCAACCCATCTCCCCCCCTCCCGGCCCGACCACGGCTCCGCCAGCAGCGCCAGCGCCCGCGCCCAGGCCACCGCGCCCAGGAGCGCCGAGAAGGCCACGAGGTCCGGGCCCAACGCCCGCAGCTCCTGGAAAAAGGAGCTGCGCTTTGGGGAGCTGTATGTGGCTGTAATGCCAACGTCTTCTCTTTTTTTACGGCACTCATTTTGGACTTTTGGGGTTGGACTCGCTTGTTGGAATCCTGACCTGAGTTCCGACCAAGGCGCGTGCATTGCAAAGGCGACATGTACAAGCAAGGCGGCACGTTCGAACTCCTTTTTTTGAGTAGACGGAAGAGAAGGCGGTTCAAACAGGCGCGTAAACACGTTACGGGGTTGGCCCACTCGGTTCCCAACTCAAATGGAAAGCCCGCTACCAACCATAAGCAGAGACACAATCACAACAATAACAACGACAATGCCAAAACCAATGGCTGGCAATATCAATAACGAAACAGAGACAGACAGAGACAGAGACAGACAGACCAGGCAGGCCAGACAGACAGGACAGGCCAGACAAGATCAGACCAAACAAGACAGACAGACACACAAACAAACAAACAAACAAACAAACAAAAGCGGAAACCCGATACAAAGGAAACACCAGGAGGGGCAGTGACGCACTAACAGAGGATGCTTGAGAGTCCATCCGCCACAACCGAACAAGCATAAAGAGGCATACACTAGAGGTAACACTGATAACAGCACAGCAATCATCAGAAAGGCAACTGACCCAAACATGCAAAAGAAATCCCGGTAACCAAAAAAAAAACGACACATCCAAATCCCCAGCTGAAATTGTAATGTCCCTAGAGGGAAGCCCAAAAGTGGTTGCAAGTTGGCCTTCGGTTTCTGTATGAGGTGCGGCACCAAAACCCGATCGGCACGAAAAGGCTTGTTTTAGGGAAACCAAAGGGAAACCCACTCTCTGGGGTGCAATGTGGTCTCGCCAGACCTGGAATATGACATTCCAGCGCTTGTTCTGTTTCCTTTGAAGTAAGCCCAAAATATTGGTCTCCAAAACAAGACAGACATGCCCACGTGAGCAGGATTCCCAGGAAATCCAGTTATAATGACTCATGACCAAACTCATTGATTCATAGGCGGTTCCTGTTGGGTGGTTGTTGCCTTTGGTTTCCTGATCAAACCCCAACAAGGGTAGCATCAGTTGAGTCATAGCCAAAGCCTGGCACCAGCACCCCTAGGTTTAAGTCTCTTTGGGGTAATCCTTCCTCGGCGAAGGGATCCCCAACAAGCGGAGCAAAGGCTCCCCTGTGACTCCTTGCATAAATTGGGCAGCCCTTCAAATGTATGAATTGCGGTCACAAAGGGCATGATGCTTACGTAAGCACCAGGCATGTTTGAGGGTGCTTCACCCAGGAAAAGTCAGGGCATATCACGCTACTCTCGAACCATGGTCAGGGTTCCTTTTTGAACAAAATCCCTCTCAATGGTTGTCTAACATCCCTATAAAGCATTCTGTGACCGTCCCCAAACAAAACAGGTCTTTTGAGCATGGCACCGGGGAGTTTCGGCGGCTTCCCTTTGGCGTCCCCTAAAACATGAGTCCCTTTCAAGGAGGTACCCTCCAAAAAAAAGGGCGAGCCACCGGGCTTCCTCGAAGAGGAGCTCCGCGATGCCCGGCTGCGAGGCACGCCCGCAGGCAGTGATGCAGGCGCTATAGCTCGCCACCTATCCAAATGCGGCAACCACTCACCGACGGTGCGGCTTGACTGACCCACGGGCCATATGCCAAGAGGTCGTGCTTCTGGGAAAAATTGTGGGTGCCCTCATATCTTCCTATCTTCCTCAAAGCAATTTGCAGCACAATGGCTCACATGCCGCTCGCAGAATGCAAAAGGAGTTAAAAATGGGACTCCAGCCTCCCCTTCCCTGATTCCCTAAAACAAGACCCCTATCGCGGCCTTGGAGGAAACCAGGGATCAAGGGCGGGATCCTATGACGAAGGGGGCCAAGGAAAAAAAATGTGCCATTCGATTCTTGCGCACTTGCTTGCCAAACGAACAGGCATCCGTTCAAGTCGACTTGCTCAACCGGAGGAGGATGAAAACTCCGATTCCACCAAACAGGGTGTGCATGCCGCTGTGTCACAAGCAAGAGCATCGGACGCAAGGAACATGGTTGCACATGGTTGCACATGGTTGCACATGGGCACATGATGCAGATGCTCAACTCTTTTACGGCTCAAGCCAAAACCGTGAATCCTCAAAGATTCTCCCCTGACTCATAGTGAAGTTCCGAACAAAGGACTCACTCAGCAGGTGCCAAGCCTTTCAGCCTCGCATTCCAGCGGCCTTGGGCCGGCCTCCTGGCCCACAGCCCGCGACTGCATGTCCTCCAAGAAGGCGAGGGCCATCTGCCACTGGTGGCACTGCCCCTGCGCTGCAATGGCCTGAGGATTTGTTTCATGATACCTGTGCAAAGGGGAGGGGGAGGGGGAGGGAGCTCAAATAAGCTTTACATAAGGCCGGAAAAAAAGGGCTTCATAAGGGCGTATTTGGGCTCCCTCCCCGTCCCCTCCCTTCCCCGCATGAGTGTTGCGTGTTTTTGTGCCGTGACTTCAAGAGCTCCATAGATTTGGAGGTGCAAAAAGAACCCCTTTGGCCATTTCTCAAGGGATGCCCAAAACGGGCGACAGGGAAGCAACGATGAGAGGGCGTCCTCCCCAAGTCTCAACATGGCATGCATTGTCAAGCATTGAGAGACTTTGGAATTAGGAGGGACGTCAAACATATTTTTGGCGATGGCTTTCAAAGGAAAACAATGGATGGGGTGAAGCGAAGCCCAAGCGACTTAAATCTCAAAAGTGTACCAACACGTTCAGGGGGGCCTTAAAAGTGCGCCAACCATTTCAAGCAGGTTCTTTATTTTTAGGACCAGTTGCGCCCCAAAGAAAACAAGGGCATCCCCACTAAAGCAAGCGGCTCGCCCCAATTCATCCACAAGAATCTGTTTGACGTGTGTTCCAAGGCAAGTGTGCGAACTATCCTCTCTCTAGAATCTAGAAACTCAAACATCTCACTGATTGCTGACTGTGGCTCTTGTCATATCCCTTCAACACATCGCTGCATGGGATACCTGGTACAGTGGCCTGCCCATCTCCGAGCCCGAAACGTCTCAACTCAAAACATCCAGTGGCCAGGGGTGGGCAAGCAGCGAATCCAAACGACCATCTCTGCAAGTGATGAAAGATCTTCCGCTACCTTCCGAAACTTTTGCCATGAAGGCGGTACAAAATCCACCGGGCTCCAAAACCGAACCCAGCCGATCTGGGCGCCCGACGGCGTTGAAGGTGATCGCATTGGCCCGCAGCTGTCTATGAGGGAGGCCCTCCACTGATCGAAGCACCTCCTGCCAGAGAGCGACTCACCCCTTGGTTTAAGCCATGGATTAAACACCACTTGATGACACAACTCTTGTTTCCTGTCCTCAGATCACCTGCTGAGAGCTTAACTGTTCGTCGGTTCAAAGGAAACTACCACTTCTCCAACTAACCTTGAACAAAAAAAGAACCGGATCACTGGGCTCTCTACCGAGACCCTTTTCGCCTTTTGGTTCCTAAGCAAACTCCCGGTTGTTTTAACTAGCAACCCTGCCTGCCAGCGTCCAGCCTTCCCGGCCAGTGCCTTGGAAAGCTGGCAGGGGTGCCACTGGGACGGCGTTCTGTTCAATGGATATTGAACAGCAGCTTCAGCGGCGGCAATGGAAAACACGAATGTGTAGCTCAAACCGCTGCAACAGAAACTGTGTTGACTACTTAGACCAATCTAAAATACTTGATGCTCAAGCGGTATTGAACGACAAAAGAAGAACGACAAGCCAACAACCAGTTCAACACCTATTGAACGGCATATCGAACGCAAGGTGCACCCCTTATAGCCCAGTACACAAGGCTTTTGACTCACAGCCATTGAATAAAATACCTCATATGTTGCTACGTAGAGGCAGCCATATTTTGGAAGCTCGAGCTGAGAGGTTCGTCCTCTGTAACGCTGTCCAATGTGTTCGTTGGTGATACACGAGAACTCTGCTTTCGCCAGGACATCCGGATTGGATTCGGATTCTAGCCCCAAGGCCCAAAAACGTCCAACCAAAAAGGGGTTCCCACAAGGAGTCGGGCGGGGGTTCGAACAAATTCGGCCCAGCTTAGGCATGAAACGCGTGCCAAGGTTCGATCTTCTGCGTCGTGGCCTTGAGCTCACTCCTCAAACTCGAGCCCATCTCAAGGCTTAAAGTGGGTCCTATTCGGCTCGCAAGCAGGATATGGGGGTGCATATGTTTCTATCAAATTCTTTGTCAAAGAATACCGGAATTTAATCCAATGCAAAGGATAATACATCCTTTATTCTGGCTTTATTTTGAGGCAAGCCCATTGAACCCAGTCCTTGACGCATCCATTCGGCAACTTCCCAACTCGGGCTCTAGTTGAGTTGTGGCCTCTAATTCTTCAGCTTGATGGCGGCAATGCGCAGGCGAAATGAGGTCAATATCTGTTGAGCCCCCGCATGGAAGATACTCCAAAACACTGGAATGATTTGGGGTCGGGAGCAGGCCCTCGCGAAAATTGGACGGAGGGGCTTCTTGTAGAGCGCAAGTCGCTTTCAAACACTGCCCATGAATACAACGCAGCCTGGCACGCAAACGTGCACTCTCAAAATGTTCGCTGGCTATTTTTCGACACTGCCGGCGTAGTGCGTCGTGCCTGTGCTTAGGAGTGACTGCATGCGATACGAACTCTTAGAAAGCCGGGCATACCGCATACCTCAAATCCCCAATGACATGTCTGCCATGTGATCTGCTGCAAAGTTTCTGGGCGATCTGTCTCTGTGGCTCTGCTCGACAAGGCTTCGCCGAATTTGGCTCATGAGTCTTTCTCCACGATCGCCTCGGAAAAGGCGAAGCGAATGTCTTCGGATGTTCTGCGCCCGCCAAATTAAGCGGTGTTCCTATCTTGTTTCGGGGGATACAAATGGTCAAGTTCTGCGTACACTGTGCCACCGCTTTGAGCAGCCCGTGCTTAACCCTGGATGCCCATTGGAACAAAAATGACAAACCACTGGAATCCAACATCAAAATCCCCCCATTGAGTTTTTCCATTTTGGGCACCCATGTTTGACGCAAACCCGTTTGGAGACCGCCAGTTTCTTGCCAAGAGGCCGTCAGGTGACCATCGATCTCCGCCTCGCTTAGCCTCACGAAGCCCTTCCTCGACCTCAGCAAAAGGGCCATTGCCCACCAGCCACATGGCTCCTCAGTGGATTTCCAATTTCTACCCACTAAAAAAAAAAACAAAATGCTAAGGGGATGGCTGGCAACCACCAAGTAACGTGACCCAAAGGGCGTCCATCTTCGCGTTGCTTTTTGCCCAAGGTGCGAGAGGACTTGCTTTGCCACTGGACAGCTTAGAGAAACTGCTCAGCTCCGACTCTCGGAAGCATCTGGTACTCCCCCGATTAAAAAGGAACCGAGAAGAGAACCGGTTCCAGGCGAGTCCCGCTCTTGGAGTCCGGAAAACGGGTTCCATGTGCGGCGGTGTCTGACACATGCCGCTTGGCTCAACCTTGGGGAGCCAACTTCGACACGATGCCAACTTCGATGTCTGAGGCCTGGCTCTGAGACAAGCCCCACCGACGGTTTCCACCAGGGCAACCGCGTTCAGTGGGGCAGGGGAAACCGCTTATGCCAAGGCTCAAAATGACCCTAGCATGCATCAACCATGAGGTGGTGGGCAAAAAAACGCTCTCTGTGTGCCAAAACTTGGGGGTCGCTTGCTTTTTCCTCGAAGACCTTGTGGCGCTCCACGTGGAGAGCCCATGCACTCAAGACTCGCCCTTCTGGGGTCCGAAGTGGAAGTTGCAAATCACGGTTGGGATGCGAAAGGCTTGGGAACAGGAACCGCAGGCGGTTTCTCGCTATCCCTGCCGCGCGATTCATTCCAAACCCCGTTGGCAAGGTATACCCAGAAAAATATCTCAAAGCAAGAAGACGTCTGCGCCCTCGGTTCTGAATCCTCAAGTAAGCAAAATCAATTAAATCTTGCTAGCCCATTCCTTTCCAGGAAACTTTCATGAAACGACGAGGCGGGTTCGGAGCCTTGAAGTCCATGCCCATGACGGCTTGGAGGCATCCGATTGCCTAGGCTCGATCTGGACGTCGGGGTGTCTCCACATAAACCCCGCAAAATGGGTGTCCTTTTGGTGTTCATTGAAACCCCATCCAAAAAGTTTGATTCTCAAGAAAGAAGACCGACCTGATTGCTTCCACCGGGTTTGCGTTGGACTTTGGGGGCTTCCCCAAAGATTTCAGGAAGCACCGGGCCTGCTGGATGGTCTCCGCCTCTGTGAATTGGATTTTCTTTTTCACCACCTTCTCAAGCGCGTTCTGCGCCTGGCCGTCAAAAAAGAAAACTTCTCGTCCCTGGACGATTTGAGGGGAGCTCCGGAGCGCCGATGTTAGAGGGAAAGGTTGGCTGTTGTGTACCGAATCACTACCAAAACCATGGCCAAACTCTCACTTGGCGGTCTAACATCCACCCCCCCTGCGAGGCTGAGAATTCTCGCAGACACCTCACCTTTTTTCGGCACACGGGTGGTGAACGAACTTGAGAGGTCCCAACTCTTCACGACCCGCGGTCCCTTTCCGTCGAGGCTATCCAAGTTGCCCGCCTCCTGATCCTTGGTGCCTGCAGCAGCTGCCTTGTATCCGAAGTATTGGCCGGCAGGATCGACCTGCATGTCTTGAGAGCTGCTCCCATGGGGCTCTTTGGGGCCGAAGGGCGTGATCTTTGCGTCTCTTCTCTCAACTCTCAAACTTTGATCCAATGAATCGGGAGGGCCACCGTGTTGGCGCAGTGAGAAATTAGCCAGCAAGCCATGTCTAAATGGCATGAGGCCTGGTAGAGCGTCGGGCCCTTCTCATCATCCATGGCAAACCTGATAGCTGTGGTCGGATTTACTAGATCGCCACACAGAGCTCGGTTTAATGCGAGCCTCTTGGCCATGGGGGGGGTCAACCCCGTTCGAGCGCTTTCACGGATGGGATGGGCATCGACAGTCAAAGGACAGTGTCAGGTGCCCCAAGCCGGGTGCCTGGGGACCCCAATTTATTGGGAACCATGTTCCATGCTGGACCTTTGTATATTATCGCCTGAAGTCAAATCGCGCAACTTGTGCGTTGACCTTTAGCCAAGAAGCAGCATAGTGCTCACGCCATAGGGGCGCATGTAAGCATGCTGAGTGTAGACCTGGATGCAAAGGGAGCAACTCTCCCCACGCGAAGCATCTAACATAAAATCGGAGCGCCGGCAAAACGGGGGGTTGGATTTCTTTGGTCTTACAATCCCCAAGAGTCTGACGCTCAAAATCGCCGGCCAAATGGGCATCTGCTGCCTTTCCACACGAACCAAACCCTGAAAGGCGAAGACAGCCGCATGGTCGAAACCAACGCAGCTGTGGAAGCATCGCCGGCAAACTCCCCGCAGCCATGGGTCCCACTTTTGTGCTCTCATGAGACCAACCTAGGTTTTATTCGGCCAACCCGTTGCGTTGCTTTTGCTTGACGGCCTTGACCAAGACCTTGGTCTCGTTTCTATGTCCTCTGTGGCTTTTGGGGGCAGGGTCTCCCCGCGGAGAAGGGGAACTCCACAAAAAGTCCATGGCTTCCCTTTGGGGAAACCAGGCTGGTTCCCTGTTGATTTCTCAAAATACACCAGCATAGACCCCAGATAGCAAAACGCCAGCATCCCAAAACACAGCACCTTACCAGCACCATGCCCCCTAGCACTTCAGCTATCTGGGGAATAAGCTTCAAAAAAAATTGAAGGACACCAACTCGAGAAACCAGCACCGCCCTGGCAGGCCTGCGCGATGTTCGCCAGCTTCAAGGCGAGGTAGTGGACCTCGAGTTCTGGAGGGCGGCTCGTCTGTGTTTGGCGTTGGTACTCCCTTTTGGTTGGTTTGAAGGGAAGAAATCAACAAGAAAACCACAATTTTGGGGTCACCCAAAAAAGACACACCCATGTGGGTACATGTCTGTCTGGGTGTTTGTGTGTGTGCTTTGGTGCACATCAAAAATACATGCTCGGATGTCTGCCTTATGCAACCGCCGACCATTTCTAAAGTTGGCGTTCCAACCACTAACATTCATAGCCAGATCAGCTCGCGCCTGAAAAAATGTTCAGAAAGCCAGCTACCGTGGATATTTTGCAGGACATTTGCGCACACAAAACGATCGAAAGTGGCCCAAGTGCAATGTCCTGCACCAAGCTCAGTCTCCGACAGGAATTTCATATGCATTCTTGTCCTTGAATTTGGCGGCAATTTCTCGTGCCCTGGAGAGAAGAGCAAAGCACATTGATCACACTCAGCTCGGGTGGCTGCCTGAACCTGTGTTTGCTAATGTTGACCCCATATTAATCAATCAACCAGTTTATTCATAGGGAGTGTTTCTGGGTGAAATATGGGGAATCAGACCACTTGGAGGGGAACACCCTCCTATTAATAAACTGGGGTTGATGGTCAACATGAGACTCCGGACAGAAAGATATTGTATTTCTCCATCGGACAAGCGGGTTGGAATGCTCTATCAAATGCGGGGCGTGTAACCCCGCCCTTGGATTCTTGGACGCGAAAAGTGCCAACCCGAGCGAGGCATTGCGACGACTTGTGCAAAGACTGACACTGTGCAGAACCCGCCTGTAAACCAACGCGCGGGCATCTGGGCTCATGCCAGTCATCAAGCAGCCAAGATTGGGCGTGATGTTGTAGAGATGAGTTCCGAAGTCCTGGACCGAGAGGCTGATGCACCCGGGTTGACATGCCCTGATAATAAGGAAAGAATTAACAAGCCCCCTCAAATCCAGTGGGGTCTGTTTGTGTGTTTGCAACATATATCTCTCCCTGCTCACAGATCGAGATGCAACCGCCGGTCCTTGTCCATCAACTTGTCTGGGACCTTTTTCTGAGTGACAGCCACGACCTTCGCACGTCCAAAGGCGGAAAGCTTCTTTTTCCCCATCCCAAGGACCTACTCCCCAGACAAGATCCTCTCGATCGAAATGGGATCCTCTCTGAGTGTCTGGGCGCTGTCGTCTCCTCGCAAAGCAACGGATGTCATGTTCTGGTTCTTCTTCACAGCCTGGAACCTGGCAAAGAACGGATTCCAGGTCGACCTTGAAAACAACCCAAAAAATGGCACCAACTAAAAAAAAACACATCCATATCAGCCACTGTCAATATTCGCCAAATGTCCCATTGGGAATTTGGGTCTCTGCCGCAAGTTGGTGCACACGCGCAATATCCTCCCCAATCCGACAGTAGATGATGAATGACCGTGGAGACTCAGGGGTTTCCAGATGTCTCCACTTCAAAAGAATTAACCGTGACTTCATGATGAGAGTTGGGCCCAGTTATAGAATGTATATTTTATTGTTTGCTTCACTTTGAGTCACTGGCAAACATGTAAAATATATCCTCAGTCTACCTCAGACTTCCTTGGGGGGATTCTCTCAAAACAAGAAACAACAAACAACAAACATCGGTATCTTCCACAAAGGGTTTGGATCATCTCAGGCGCAGACGCATACTCCACCTGGTGCAAGCGGCCCTGCGCAGCGTCGACTCTGCAAGGCCCTTGCTTGGGGACTGGGGACGCGTGAAGATTGCTTGGATTGTGGTCTGGAGTGATCAGAAAAATGAAGACAAAAGAAGGACTACGCAATTTGAGCATAGTTCTAGGGTTGATTCCTTGTCACCTTGTCCATTCTTTTCAAACCATCGTTCTTTTCAAAAACCGGCTGTTTCCCCTGCGTTTTGTTATGGTTTCCTGAAACGAAGGATCCCTAGAAAAAATGGAAATGGAAGGTACCCCTAGAATAGTGCTGGGAGAGCCCCAAATGGACAAACGTGATCCTGCTCCCCTGAGCGGCACTTTTGTGGATATAGCAACTCAGCGACATTCACGCAGGTCGACCATGCTAAACGACAACCGACTGGTCATTGACCTTAGACAACATGAGCCGACTGCTAAATGATCAAAACCAAGCTGAAACCAGCGGAAGCCATCTGTTTTCAACACTGAGAGGAGGGACACCTCTGCCTGGTCCCTTTCTTTTGGCTCGCTGTGGAATCCTTTTGAGTCGAAGTTGGGTGCCAAGACAAATGTCCCCGCCTCTGGCGAGAAGATGGTGATGTGGCGGTCATATCCTGATTGGCGCGCCATGTCTCCTGCGGTGAAGAGACTGGATGTGCAGAAGACATGTGTGTGAGTGTGTGTCTCTGGTTTGTTTCCCGGAGACGGGAGTTGCCTACAACAGCTAACCAAAGAACCATTTTGGGGTTCACGAATTTGAGGCCACACTCAAACGTTGGACTGGCCGGCGTTCATCTTCTCCTTCCCACATGACGCAAAGAGGGGGTCTCAGGTTGGACTGGAATCCGAAACTCGGCGAGCAAACGCTCGCAAGCGCCCAACATGGTTCCATATGGCCTCTGATGGATTCCCGAATGCAAGTGCAAAAACCACATTTGAAATCTCCAAAAGGATACTCAGGAGGGCAAATCGCAAAAAGGTGCGTTTTGTTTGGCCCATTTTCCTCCTGGGTTCCTTAGCTTCCGAGACTGTTGCCATCTGTCTCTGTGGCAGAACTCGGTCCTCGCTCCAAGATGTGCGCCCACGCTAGGGGCAGCTGACCAGCCAGCGAGCGGAAAGCCAACTTCAAGCGTCTATCACCGGGATTCCACACACGAGACAACCACATTTCTTCCGTTATTCACCATGCCCTTGTTGCTTTGACCCATGGCAGTTCTCCATGGTGAAGGGTCCCGCAACTATCGACTTGTGAATTGAGAATTTGCCTGAAAAACTCCATCAAGTTTAAATGTTCGCCTCTCGTATCATAGCTGCCGTAGCATGCCAAACTTGATGCGAAGATTACCCATCGGTCCCCAAAAGCTTGCTGGTCCTAATGGTCGGACACGTTCTGATAAAGGGTCCGAGTGTCAGTGAATGATAGCTTGGCACAAGTCTGCAACTCACAGATTCACCTTCTGCAACATGGGCACGCTTAGGATTCAACCTTGCAAACCATGTACACCTCAGTTGTACTTGTTGGTTTTATATAAGTAGGATCCTGCTGGGTCAGCCTGTTTGTTTGGACTAATCTCATGACATACCGCATACCTCAGAACATCATTGGCGGCCAGCTCCAGATTCCGCCGCCAAACGCAGCAGCATGCCATTGGGACTGTGCAAGTTACACGCATCCCAAACACAGGCGAGCGGGGTCTACATGGCAATAAATGTAATAGGGAACTGGGAACCACCTCAAGAGTGGCTGGTAAAACAGGAATCCTCACCTAGATGGTCCCTTCTCGGGTCCCTCTAATAAAATTCATACCCACTCAAATTGCTGCAACTGCCGCTTGAAGCTGACCTCAAAAAAAAAGCCCCCGCTTGCCAAAATGGTCGCTGCTACAATAAGAAGCAGGGCTTGCTGCACCCGAGCAATGAAATCTGGTGAACGACGGACCTCCGGCAGGGGTGGCATAGCAAGCCCTACACCGTTGTCAGTTGCCCAAGCAAATTGAAACATTCAACGCTCCCCTTGTCGTGTGACAACATCGGGGACTGGCAAGGCATCATCTCATCGCGGACAGCCAAATATGACGGAAGCACTCGAAGAGAAAAACACTGGGGCCACAATCTTCCACATCCCTGCTTTCGACCAAACAGCGTGCGCCACATGGTTCGAATAAAGTACGCGACCATCTGGCTGTTCCGGAGTTGCTTGCACGAATTGTGCATGGCTCAAAAAAATGGTGAGCTCATGGAAGTCAGGCAATGTGGCCCGGATCCCCCTCCTCACATGCGACTGCAAGAGATGCGTCTAACATCGGTTGGTCAAAGAGATCTCTCTTGCTCTCTCTCTCTCTCTCTCTCTTGCTCTCTCTTGCTCTCTCTCTCTCTCTCTCTCTGTCACTGAAAAAATCGAGCTTAACCAGCCCAACCCAACCAATCCAACCCATCCAACCCATCCAACCCATCCAACCCATCCAACCCATCCAACCCATGCTGGTGATGGAATGGGGGCCCAAATTAGGGGCCCCGCGTACAGGTTCACGGCGAAATGCTGGCAGTTGTTGTCCATCCAGGAATATGGCAACATGGCCGACGGGTTGTTGAGCAACAACCTGCGGCTCGGGGCTGGGCAGCTGGCCATGACGCATCCATCAAAACATGACGCTTGAAGCCCCGAAGCCCCGAAGCCCGTCATTGGCAACACCTACGGAGCCCAAGGTGGGTGCCCAATGGGAGTTTCCAACTCCTTCGAGCTGGATGCCTCTTTCCGGGCACTGGGTGTTTCACCGACCCGGACGCCTGTCCAGCTCCTTCTTGGAACGAGGCTTCCGGCAGGGCGCCCACTCCCTGGCAAACCACCACTGCGCCTGGGCTGGGAGAACCCTTGAGGCCTCGCTTCCCTAGATCTCCGGTTGGGTTCAAAATGTGTTGCGTGTCAAAAGCAGCCAAGTCTGATCAATATCGTGGTATTAGTCTACACAGTCTACGCATATACACAAACACACAAATACAACTGCAAATTGGAATGGCGGATGTCCGCATCTAAAAGTATGAGGGTCCCCCAAAATGCGCTTCGTGCCTCGGTTCCCCTTTAACACACACCCAAGAGCATATGTGACAATTGGGTTGTCTCTGTGACCTCCCCAGCAACAGTCAGAAATTAAAAAAAGCAGACTGCCAATATTTCTGTGGATCGACAAACTCCACTTCGCACAAGTTGGGATGCATGAAACCCTATGAAACATTGACAAAAACCACCAAATCCCAACTGGTGCCGCTTCGCGCAGATTTGGCTCCACAGTGCCAGCTGAGTACGGCTTCAATTCAGCTGGGACCCGTACCTCAGGGTATTGGAGCCCACTGGCGACCGCCGCGCAGAGGCCCAGGTACACACAGCCTGCAGACTTCCACGATGTCTTCCCGTGAGGCTTTCTGCTCTTTGCTTGGTCCTTTTTGGTCCCGTCTTCCGTCTTCTTCGTTTTTCCAGGTGAGTCATTCCCTTCCTTAAGCGAGTGGGGGAGCGTTTCCGGGAAAGATCGGGGGTCATTGGCTAGGACTTAGCAGGAAGCAGAAGCAGACAAAGAAGAGTGCTTAGCACGAGCAGGCACATGCATCCTGAACCTCTCGCTCCCAGTTTAGACCCTTGGTAAACCCTCTGAGCGAAAACGCCGTCTTTCCCTTCAGCCCACGAAAAAACGAATCCCTGGAAGTATCCCAGAAAAGACATCTTTCGTGCGAACCAGGCCTGACACGTGATTCTTGCCGCTCTCATCCATACAGAACTGCGCTGCGTAGAAGTACCTGAGACACCCCGAGTCATTTGAGCCACCAAAGCATGCAGTTCCCAACAAAGGAAATGGGAAGATCTGGTGATTCTCCCCTTGGGTCGTCATCACCCCTCTTGTGGCTCCGGGGCCCAGGCATGTTGTTTGCACTCCTGACGGCCGGGAGAATAGCAAAAACGTGTGGCAAATTGCAATGGCGGATGCGCCCACTTATTTCCACTTGGGAGGATCATCCTATCAACCTTCAGTCACCTTGGTTTTTGATTGTGGCTCACTTGACTCGATGCCCTTTCAACACCCTCTCGCACAGTACGGCTCACAGTCCCCTCGACCAAAACTTTGGTCTTCGGTGGAAAACTGATGGGCCGAGTCCTCGCAACGAACCACCAGTGATCCGCCGGGCCAGACACGTGGTACGACCTCGCCGTCCCACTTCATATCAGCAACCGACTCCTTCCAACCTCCAACTAACCAAGCTGAGCCGATGCTTGTTGCACACATCTCCCCAAAGCCCTCGAAACATCGGGTAAACCACCGCAAACCGCACAGGATTTGGATGTCTCACAGCCCTCACACGGACTCCACTTGGGCGCAGCCAGGCGGGCACCAGGAACAGCAGCGACACGGGGTTCCACCTCCCCAGCTCAATCCAGGCCTCCACGGCCGCTCCCAAACCAGACCCCCCGTTTTCCGGCGGCGATCGGAAAACCGAAGGAAAACCAGGTGTGATGTTTGCTGAAGAAAAACATTTTCTTCTTCCGATCAAAGCCACCTTTTGCGGTTGGGCGATTCAACCCCTTGTTCAAATCATGGTTTGTGCCAGCACTCAAGCAAGCTCCTTTATTCACTGAAAGGGTGCCAGAAGATGGTTCAAACCTGATGCCGGCCTTGCCCGGCAGAGGGCACGCGAACACGGCCTTCTCAACGAAGACCACATTCTGCACCTCGTAGTCCTATTGAGACTAGCATCGAGGCCTGCTTGCCGTTTCTCCACATGAGCGGTCAATGTTTACTGCGCATCGGTTTCCGAGCGGCAATTTGGCCAGTCTTGGCTTTCTTTTACGACAGACGGTGAGTTTTGGCCAGGCGCACGCGTCCATTCAAACCCTCACTTCCGAATGGTCCCCACCCATACCGGTTTTTCAGGGCGAACGCTCCTCCAGCCGCAGGCCAGGCGGCACGAGACCCACTTCCCCATAGTTGGAGCTGCCTGGAAGCAAAATACACGAGTCATGGTCAAAACCAAGTTACGGGGTCTGCCCAACAGCCCACAAAGAAACATCTGTCCCCCACTAACTGGTCGCAGCAACCTCTCTATAGCAGGGATATTTGTGGTTCAGTTGCACTCCACGACACACCTCACGTTACGCTTGAGGGAGTAACCCACGCGGGTTATATGTTCTCATATGCAATCATGTCCTGCAGGTACTCTTTCTGCTGGACACAGGGCGTCTGAACAAGAACCTCGCATTTGTTTTTGAGCGCGCGGTTTTTTCGGAGAAGGAACCTCGCACTAGATAATCAACAGGTTTTGGATTTTTGGGCTCAAGGTGTACGAGGGCTCGGACACTTGAACGGCTGCGCCGCACCTTCTTCACGGGCGCTCCTGGAGGAAAACGGTTCAGGAGGCCACTGGTGCTTCCCAGCAGCGTTACAAGTCCAACTCGCCTGGCGGGTTGCCAGCACACAAAGGACTGATCAAAGACAACAACCAGCGCTTTTGTGTTGAGTTGGCCACCGCTCTCAAGACTTCTTGCGCGACTGCACCGGCTGAAAATTGCTCACGCAGGACATCTGCAGATCCCATCCTCGGCCGGCACGCTGCGTTCGAAGCAAACTCGCTGCTTGTCGAGGACAAGCCGGAAAACGCCCAACGCGCGACCGAGCCTTTTTTTCTGGGCGTGGTCCATTGCTGCTTGCCCGGACTAAAAAACCAAAGGTCCGCCTGGACTCGCGGAAAAATGCGGCTGCAAGAATCTTGCCAAACGATTGAACTCGGCACGAGCTGCGCTCCACCGGCAGGTGTCGGCCAATTGCAAACCGGCATGTCGCAGACGGGAGCACTGAGAGCAGAACTGCGATCAGAGAGTCTTGACTTGCTGCAACTGCAGCGTGGGGCAGAAATGGTCAGAAACCGATTGCCGGCCCTCACGCTGCTTTCGTTGCAAGCGCATCCGTGCCAACAGCACGCAGGCCACAAGGAGCGTCAGCAGGAACCACTGCGGCCGCATGTCACGTTGCGCACGCCCGCGCAAACTCTTGATTGACATGCGCCAGGTTGGCGGAGATGTCACGTCAGTGTCTGCATTCTTTGCCTTCAAAGTCACTAGCTCTTCGTGAAGGAGCAACAACTCCCGCTTTGCACTCTCCAGCTCTATAGGCCACCCCTGACGAAGTAAACATGTCTGGGAGATGCCACTGGGGCCGGCCGAGCTGGAGCGCCCAGATCAGCAAACGCGTTGCAGTTGTGAACATATCTCGATCAACACATCAACCTACCTACCGGAGATCCACACGAATCTGTGCTGTACCTTGGGCTTCTGCCGTGGCGCGTTGTCTACGCATGTTCACGCAGCTACAATGGTCCGGCGTGTGTAGATTACCGTGGCGTTCGTGACACAACAACAGTGAAAATCGTTTTTCCTTTGTGTTTTGAATGCCCGTGTCTTGCCCACTCAAAACATCTTCGACCATGCAAGTTCTGAGGCTCAACCGTGGCAATGCAGCCCACGCCTTGCTGCAGCTCTTTGTGTTTGCAAAAAACGACATGCCAATTTCATGGCATGTGCACGTATCGGCCACATTCGGCTCAAGTCAACTGTGCTCGCACCTAGCTTAGGCCTATCCCTTAGCCAGGTACAAAGGGTCGTGGAGCAACTCGTGAGAGCATATCGAGCTGATTGCGCTGCTGCGGTCTCCATTCGGTACTCTTGCATCGGTTGCAGGACAGTACAACCATCGCTGTTGTGACACAGTCCTGTTTCCCCTAGATTCTTAATTCTACATCGGTAACATGAAAGTCTTGGTGTTGTCCAAGGTTTCAACCCAGCCCGAAAATCCCCGATGCGGCTCATCTAGCTCCGTGAAAGGGCAGCAAAAGGAACGAACTTGGTCAAAAAGGGCTGGAAGTGTGCGCCAGCCACGCAACCGAAGAAGGACAATGAGGCCAAGAGCCTCAAACTGACATGGCTCTGCTGGATTTAGTTTCGGGGTCGACGAAATGAGACCAGCTTGTTGGCATCAGAGGGCCATGCGTTAGCCGCCCTAGCCATTCCTCCAATTGAAGCTGACACGCGTTGGTAAGACGAAAGCCCACAACGTCCACCACGCTATTGGAAAGAGGGTCGTTCCAAGATTCGTCCTTTTATCCCTAGGTCAGCGCAAATTGAAAGTCACCTCAGAAGTCCCAACATGGAGGCACTTTGGTTGCATTTATAGTTGCCTGGGCGCGCGCAGATCGCCGTGTGTGCTTTGTGTCGTTCTTCTGTTTCGCAGGCTTCCGCGGTGCGGATGGGGGGGAGGGGGGGATGTTAGCATTCGGACATCAGTGCAACAATGGCGAGCTAAACGCAGGACTCCCAGAGTGGGACGCACCCCGCAAAATCAACCAGGGCTGTGTCAATCCCAGGTTAACATTTACGCATTCCCTTGGAGGTAAACAACTACCCATCTCCTTGTGGGGTCTGGTTGGAAGAATTAAAAACCATTGCAAAACTACCACTAAGAACCTAACAAATATTTCAAAGCCATTGCTATGACTCAATTCAGGTGCCACCGCCGTGTCCCCCTTAAAATTCACCCAACACAAAAAAACAAAAAACTCGTTGATTGGCTCGAGCGGTGATGTTAACAGGGTTCCTTAAAGGATTCATCACAAAAAAACGGCTTTGCAATGGGGATCCTCCAAATCGGCTCAAGGTGATTCTTTGACCGGCCCTGGTGTATCCTTTTAGGGGCCCTGTTCGACGCCCAAAACGGGGAAAGCAACTGGGCCGGCAACCGCACTGGATGTAAGACTCACTTCGCACAAGTTGGGGAATTTCAGTCCCCGTTTGTTTGGTATCTGTTTTAAACCCGCAAAAGAATAGAAACAAAAACAGGACAGCAGACCAACCCAAAAAGTTCAGCGTGGCCATTGGACGGTCGAGGGAAAACCACTGGACTTAGTATGTTAAGCCCTTTTTGGCTTTGGTCCCATTGTTTGTCAGATGTACGCCATGGGGATCACCAAACAGGTCGCTATTTCACAACGCGAACATCCCAAAAAGAGCTCCGACTCCTTTTTGACACATGGCCCCATGGCTTTTGTCTACACCCCGAACATGACAACGCTCTCCTTGTTCATTTTCCTTCAGTCACCCCATGTCCGGACGGAGATTTAATCACGTGAGATCTGGAGGGAGGCAGTTTGGCTGATTTCGCTCCAAATTATTGGAAAGGAGGTTTGAAAGACATACTGGTTCCCAGCCCAAACTGACCTACCCCCAAGACCTCTTGTTCCGAACGGCGAAATAGCTGAGGTGGACCCCCCCGTTCAGAGGTGGCCAAAACAATTCCCTCAACACCCACCCAAAAAGGTTGACATGGACGCACGGCTTCCCTTGAACGCCCTCCCGCCTATGTCGGAGCTGGCCCTGAGGTCGGTTTTCCCGTGAGATCCCGCTCCACTTGTCTGTCCCACTGCACCCCAGCTGATGCGTTGGGTGTAGCAGGTGAACGCTATCGCATTGGGGGAGGTCCCTGCCTCCTCCCAGAACTAACAATACCCATAGACTTCATATTGTCTGTCACACATGAATTTCAGCGGATTTGGCTTTTTGCGGACATCAGTGATGGGCATGTATATTGACCTTGACGTCCCTCAGAAAGGGGTTCAAATGTACGCCCAAGATTGTGTGTTTCTATCCTTTTAGCTTCTTTCTAAAGCCATCCAAAGTGCGCGCTGTTACAAAAGACGTACCTGCGGAATTCAGACAGCAATGAAAAAGATGCAACGCTGATGTTCGGGACTGGCTCAATCGAGTTGTTGGAGTTTGCCAACATTATGGCCTCCTTTTTGAACCTCCTTTAAAGGCGCCAAAAATGTATTCTCCAAAAGCCCCCCATGTCGTGGGTAGCATTTCATGCCCTTCGGCGCAAGTCTGATAGCGCATGTGTGTGAATGTGTCTTCTATTCAAGTCTCTGTTCTCTATTATCCTTTGAACATAAAACATATGGAGCTTGCCGCAAAGCCACGGGTACAATTCCCCATGCTTCAGGGTCACTCCAGTTCTGGAGAACGTGCAACTCCGTCTCAGGCGCCGGCACGGAGTGTGGCATAGACTGCCCCATCTTGGGCAAGTTGGGTGATAATTCAGATGTGATCAAGTTTCGCATTAAGGATGACTCGGTTGTCAAGGGCAGGCTTGCCCTTTTTTCTGAAAGCCTCCGATAAGGCGTGGATCGCGGCAGGATTGTCGCTGTCGCCCTTGAAGTGTGCCCATTGCAGCTGAGTGCCGCGGCCGCGGACGCTTTCATGCCACGTGCTTGGTAGCTGTGCTTCAGTGGGGACCTCTAATCGCTTGCCCAACTCTCCTAGACCATCTCCAAGTTCTTTTCGCCGCCTCCGCGCTACGCGAAAAGCCGTCCGTGCCTAGCCGGTGAAGCTCCGGGACCTTCTCAGCGCGTGGCACAAGCTAAGCTTCAAATGGATGGGACTTCGTCCCGTTCTGGACTCGGTCCATCTTGGCCCCTGGTTTTCCAGGAGCCCGAATTCAAACCACCTGAACCCTGTCAGAAGACTTCAAGGGAGCATCCTGCAAGTCCTGGCATCCAAACGGTTTCCCTGCCATTCGGCATGCTAGAATGTATGAACTCAGAACCCACCGCGTGACGGTCTCTAGACGCATGAAGAGCAGGACCGAACCCCTGCTGTAGTTCAGTCACGTCCTGCACATCGTCATGCTCAAGACGTGTTGGCTCCGGCAAGAAGTCGATCTTAGCTTCATGAGAGGCGGGTCTTGCTTCGCTTGAACCATTGCGACTGTTGCCTTTCAATGACTGGAGCGTGAGATTCCCCCTGCTTTGTGTGCAAGTCTGTCAGTTACCAGCGCTGGCTGGCGGCCATGTAGAGGTTGCTGACGCACAGCGCTGCCATCATGAGAAAGAAGGCCAAGTAGGTGCCGGTGAGCTCGAGGCAGCACTCGAAGATCAAAGGGGAGGACATGGCCGCCAGCCTTGGGACAAGGCTTATGCAGAATCTTGGATCGATTTGTTTTTAGTGGGACATTCGTCAAGCCACTTGGGGGTGGGTCAAAATTGAATCACCAGCAAACGGCAGGTTTTAGTAGTTTTTTCATTTACCAGGGTTCCACTTAGCGCAACGCAACTGTGCTATTCTTCAGGCCCCGCAGAAAAAGAAACAGGACAGCGCCACACTCAACGTTCCCAGGTCCCTGAAACAGTTTCAACTGAGCCTCCGGCCGCCCACATGCCAAAGCCAGGCCAGCACCCATACTTCGTGCCTGGCAGATACTAGCACCAAGGCAAAGAAAGCAAACAAGAGTTTGAAGGGCAATCTGTGCATGCGTCGCGGTCCAAACACCGGTATGTTGTCCATGGTTGTGTTTCCCTTAACAGGAATCCTTCTCATGGCTATCTGAGTTCCACATTAAGGGTCATGGACCATCCCCCAATCCCAACGCGGATCTGTTGACTATGGCACATATGTCTCCATTTATCATCACCGCACGAGGAGGAGCATATATAAGGATCTGCGCGCCTGCCAATACCTCGTCCATCGGGAATACGAACCAGCCAGGGTGCGGCAGAACCCGGCGAAAAAAACACAGAAGGGAGGGCTCGGCTGGCCACAAAAAGACCAGATTGACAAGCCAGGAGGAACGAACGCCTTCGAATGGATGGGCAATAAGAAATCTTCATGGTCGCAACAGCACAAGCAGCCCGCTTATTATCAGTTAATGTTTAGCTTCATGAACATTGTGAAGCGTGTCACATTGGTGACCGGCGTGTTCAAAGCTAGTGTGAATGAACTGTAAATCACATTTGGCTTGCCATGCACATGAGCACTCAACCATTCATCGAACAGCAACTGTCTAAACCGCACCTCGAATGAATCCTCTGCACGATGCATGTGTGTTTTCTTGTTGAAATCCGCTTGAAAGCATGAGAACCCAACGAGCCTCTGTTGGGTATATCTCGGCCGACATCTGGTAGGCGACGATGAAGCCAATGTTCGGGAGACATTTGATTCCTGGGCTTGCCGCTTGGCCGCTGAGAGCTTTTTTCAGAGATCTCTCAGGTCCGCGCCATAGTAGCCGATGAACAGCAGGGCCTTCATCAATCTCTCATGCCTCCGCGAACGCGAAGCAGCCAAGCAACGGCTCTCGGGGCCCGAAGGCCCGAAGGCCCGAAGGCTGAGCCGAGCTTCTCGGGGTGGCCATGGGCTCCCACGACAAAGCAGAGGATGGCGCCTCAGACGCAAGATCGGATCCCATCACCGAAATCGGATCCGAATTTTGGATGTGCCAATGGCGTCGGAGGCTTGGTCTGACTGCAGCCTCGTCACAGGTGAGACCGGTCAAGTAGAACTTCAAGGCCGTGCGCCTCGACTGGGCTTCGGCAAGGCGGGCCGACACGGATGGTTCCAATCCCCGCCTGGTCGCAGAGATGCCCAACAGCAGACCTCAGCGTAACGCTTGGAGGCTGATTCTTCCAAGCCATTCGAGGCCCTGATACTTGGCATGCAGAGTCTTGTCCACATTCTCATGAGCCAACCGTTTGCCCATACCTGCCATACCTATCTAAGCTTTAGCCCTAAACTGCTCGCGGCATAGGAGATCCCTCCAAAGGGAGATTCCCGAAACATGAGACGCCCAAAATCAGAGTCCTTGTCAGAGTGCCTTTTGAGTGCTTTTGGATGCCCCAAAACCAGGATTCCCTACATTCCGTCTTTGCGGGTGGTCTTCCCATTGTAACGAGAACCCATCCTTGCAGAGTTGTCTCGGAGAATACAGGTTTGTTGGTGCCTGCTAAAGTGGTCGCCCCAGCGCAAAACAGTAGACAGCCGGTTTGTCAATAACCCAAAACGGGAAATACTGTGGACGAAATCCTCACCACCGTTCAGATACCCTGGTTGCTGACTCGATTCCTCAATGCACAACTACCAACAAAAACCCGTGTAACTTCCCAACCCTGGAATGATGATTCCCCAACGCAAATACCAACAAACCTTGTGGTTTCAAACCCATGGCAACTCATTTCGTGGACCATCCACATGTCCAGCGCCAATGACCAGAGGAAAACTGATGTGCTTCAGGAGCAGCCCAAATATAACTTCTTACTTTCAAAATAAAAGGAAATATGTATATATATATATATGTATCTAGAAAGAAAAAAAAAAAAAAAACGAGGTCCCGGGGGCCTTTCATGGATTCCGTACCCACCCGCAGCGAGCTGTCCATCTGAGGAGCCCATGGCCAAGCCCGGCAGCTCCCACAACGCGCCCACCAGCAGCTCCGAGGCCGCCTGCCCGTGCATCAGCGTCGGCAGCACCTGCCAGCGGTCTTAGTCTGAACGACCGCCGGTAGAGAATATTCTCTTTCGATTTGGGGTGTGACCAATTTCTCCCGTTTGGGCCAGAAAAGCTGCCGAGTTTGATGTGGTGCTGTGTTTTTTTTTTTTTTTTTTTAACCCGGAGAATGCTTCCAAATACCCCCTTTTCCCCCCCTCCCGGCACAGAGGTTGTTGGTTCTCGATTTTGGGAGTCATCACTACGGGCAGCTCTTGGTTTCTATGAGCCAACCGGAAAATCTTGAGTTTGGGGGTCCCTTTCATGTGTTTGCACCCAGCTTTCCAGACACTTACTCTAAAGTCACTGGGGAAACGAGCAAACGGCGATCGGTCAAAACAGAGGCCCCCCAATTTCCTGTTGGTTCCTGGCCAACATGAAAAGGGCATACCCAAACAAAAATCCATGAAGCGGAAAATCTTCAAACCAGCGATGCGGGTCCCTGTTCTGGCACTTTTTTTGCAATAGTCTGTGAATCCACAGGTCAGCAGCGGTACAACTTCAGACTTCAGCCCTCCTCAAATGAGCTCAGAACCCAGCCGAGTTCCCATGCAAGGCTGTAACCCACACGGTGTCACGGTCTTCGTAAATGGGAAAAACAAAATCAATGGCGATGTCCCAAAGAAACTGAAGGTCCTCTTAGACGGGCACCCCTTGTCAAGCAGGTGTTTATTCATGCTGGGCTCCTACTTCTAAGTTCTTTTGCGGGAAGTTGAGATTTAACAGAGAACTTCCATAGTTAAGTGCAGCAAGGTGACATCCTCGGAATTACCCTCTGAATGAATGGTTTTGATAAGGAAACCACCACCGAAACGAAACTGGAAAACCCCACAAAGTTTTTGGGACCAAGGAGAAAAAAAAAAAGAGGGCGGAGGCGTCCGCTTTTCCGGCCCAGAGAATCGGTGCAGTGAGCTGGGCCAGAATCCAAGCACGCCACAGAGACCCCCCCGAAGAAAAAAAAAGAAATGCCCCCTTCTCTCTCCCTCCCTCTCTCTCGCTTTGGCAAACAAAAGCACTGGCTTGGAGCGCTCACCACTTCAGTCGCCTGCGGGAATGCGAACAAACACCCAAAGTAGACCATGTTGAGCGTGAAGCACACGGACATAATCACCAGCGAGACCCCCTGAGACCAACTCTCCGTCCCATTGCCAGCTAAACCACTGACTCGCCAAAAGCCAGAAGCTGGGCGCAGGGCCAAGAAGCGGGGGCTGAAGACCACGGCCATTTGTCGGCTCATTTGCTGCAGCAATGAGCCGTCGGTTCGGTGGGAGACCGGCTTCTTGAAGTCCAATGACAAGGGAGTGGACTGGTTTTGCCTGCCACAAATAAACACGCCAGGACCCAACTTGACGTACCAAATGGTCAGAAAAAGGTTTTATAGCCGGTACCGACAACCAAAAAAAAGAAGACTGGAAGTAGAACCTACTAAGGTAGCCGGCCAAGGTGGTTGTTGGGCACAGGGTGTCTCCAAGACATGCTTTGCCTGGAGCAAACGGGAACAAAACGTTGGACGTCTTTCGACCCGTCCTTCCCATGCTTTCCACCACGCGGCAGGCTTCCCTGGTCCGCCCTTTGAGGGCGAGGAACACCGGCGACTCGTTCAAGTAGGCCATACCTTGGACGAGATACCCCGTATCACCGAAAAACCTGCCGTTTTATTTTTAAGTCTGCTCCTCAAACCATGCAGTGGCCTTGCACAAAAAGCAGGACTCGCATGCATTCAGGTTGCTTAGCATGGCCATTACCAGAGACGGAAGCGCTCCAACTCGCAAGAGGAGCCGCCAGTGCAAAGACTGGCGACAGGCCACGTCCATGCCGAGAAAGCGACCACTGCCCCGAGCCTGCATGTTAAGATCGTCCATCATGAGGAGAAAGGATATGTACCTCCGCTATGAGCCCTGTGAATCCAAACGTGCGCCATGCATGCAGCCTCATGTCACTAGCCTGGACATTCTGTAGCCAATGACGAGGATACCTAAAGGAATGGACATACTTTCGTGCCTTTCCGCTCCATTGCCCGGAGCAAAGAAACATGCACATGCATTCCGCACATCATAGCGGGTTATCACAAAAATCTAGGCACACGTACAAATCAATAAGCCCTGGTCAAAATGGTGTTGACAAGATAGCACCACCCGCTCTCTCCCCTTCCGGACGTCGAATACCCGGGAATCCACCCCACCTCAGGGGCATCTAAAGGGAAAATCGAAATGTTGCAAATCGGCTTCTCATGAGGGAACCCTCAAAACACTTGGGTTTCCCTTCGGTTTCCCTGTCGTCTCCCTTAGAACAATACAGCTCAACTCCTGGCAATAACATCTTCGGCTTTTGGCAACAGAAATCCCAAAAATCAACGGCTCTGCTCGAACCCACTGTCGCAACCTTGGGCGTTTGGGGCCACCCTTGGCTTTTCAGCCAAAAAAAGCCACTTTTTCGCCCCATCCCTTTTGTTAACCCCCTCAACCGCCCGTCTCCCCGTCTCCCGCGTCTCCCGCGTCTCCCGCGTCTACCCGTCTCGGGGGCGCATTTCCCCCACGACGAACAAACTCTGGGAGGCCGCCGCCATGGCGATGCGCCAGTAGGCGGGGGTGATCTCCGCGCTGATGGACAGCCAGGCGGGCTGGCCTCCCATGGCTGGGACTCGCTGCTTGACGCGCGCGCGCGTTTACGCGTCTGTTTTCCGTTGTGGCGGGGTGCTCCTTGTGGTTGTCCCAGCAAAACCACCCAACCAAAAGGGGCAACATCCCAAAACAAGCTGCAAAAAAGGGGCAAAGGTTTTTTCTCGGGCGAAAGCTGGATTTGGGGGCCCCAAGACCTTTCTTCGAGCCCGGCCGATGCCGATAAAGAAGCCACCGAAGAAGCGGATCCCCATGAGTGCCACGGCAGCTTTGCTGGCGGAGCTCAGGACTCCGCATAGAAAGATCCCGGAGTACCTGGGCTCCGAATCCCTTCACAGTGGTCAGTGGAAATCGCTACCATCTGGCAGGAGTACGTTGGTTTCTGTCAACTGGGTATATTGAAGTGACATCATTGGAATTACCCTCCAATTTGGTGAGCGAGAGGCAAGCAAATTGCCCCGACATAATCTTGGAGAACCCCTCAAAATGCTCCCTTTAAGGGAACCAGTGTGACACCCCTCAAGGTGCTTGAAAGCTTTATCTCAGGAACTCCCTTGGCAGCGTCCGTACTGGGAACTTCAAATCTCAAGGGAAACGGGATACATTTGATGGGACTAGTTGTATGGCTGAGGCACAACTTGGAAGCATCTGGACGCTGTAACGAAATCGAAAGCATGGGTCTGGAGAATGGTGAAACACCAAATTCTGTGTCTGCCCCTCTGTGTCTTCATGGTCCCCCGCCAGTTACGGAACAAAAGCTGAAGCAACAAGGAGACGTCACTCCTCTCTTGAGCCACATATATATATATATATATATGTATGTATGTGTATATATATATATATGTATGTGTATATATGGTACAGCGTTGCCAGCCCCCCCCTCCCCCCCCAATGGTCATGGGTCAGCCAAGTACCCCCCCCCCGCCCCTGTGGTTGTGGTCCTGTGGCTGGGTTGTGGTGGTTTAGGGTTGGTTTAGAATTAGTTTAGGGTATATTTAGGGTGTATTTAGGGTTGGTTCAGGGTTGATTTAGGGTTGATTTAGGTTGATTTGTGTTGATTTAGGGATTGTTTAGGGTTGGTTTAGGTTTAGAGGTGTACGGTTTAGGGTTTGGTTTAGGGTGTATTTAGGGTTGGTTTAGGGTTGGTTTAGGTTTAGGGTTTATTGTTTAGGGATTGGTTTAGGGTGTATTTGGGGTTAGTTTAGGGTTGGTTTAGGGTTAGTTTAGATTTAGGGTTGGTTTAGGTTTAGAGGTCTACGGTTTAGGGTTTGGTTTAGGGTGTATTTAGGGTTGGTTTAGGGATAGTTTAGGGTTGGTTTATGGTTAGTTGCGGGTTGGCTTGTCCTGGGGGTGGGGGTGCCGGGGTTTCTGGGTGCGAGTTCAGGGGTCGGGGTGGGGGTGGGACCGTAGGTGCCAGGATCCGGGGGCTCGGGGTCTCGGGCCCGGGGGGGGGGGTCTTGGGGGACCATACCATATGGGGGGGGGGTAGCAACACGGAACACGGGACCATATATATATATATACATACAGGTTGTCTGGGGCACGATGTCTGGCGAAAAGCTTCGGTTTCTGACACTGTGCAAACGGAGCGGAAAGAGCTGCGTATTTGCGCCGGTATTTATGATGCAGGAACCATGGCTGGAGTTCACAAATGAGTTGCCAACAAGAAATATGAACATGAAATCCGCGAAACCATTCTGAAAGCGATGGGCAGCTAAACATTAAAAGGAAGCACCTACAAGTGCATGCCAATTGCGCGAAAGCCTAGTTCAAACAGTCGACAGCTGCTTGCTAAGACATGGCACTTGTTATACTTGCAAGCCCAGGGAGAAGTGCTGCTGGCTAGGCATAGCACGAAGCAAAGAAAATCAACAAGGATATACAAAATGACTCTAGACTTTCGAAGCGCTGCAAAGAAGGCAACAAAAATCATATCTGTCAAAAAAGGAAGAAGTGTTGATTTGTTCCTTGTCCGAAGGAGAGAAGAGCCCACTCATAGCCCACACACCCCAAGCTTCCGCCCTGCGCAGCTTGGTCAAAAGGGCCGCAGTGTTCTGCCGCACGCGTGACATTAGGCTGTGGCTCAACAACATATTATGTCAATCTGAGATGGCCATGGGTCCAAATCCCGTACCCCCAGTGAACATCCCAATCCCCACTACAATCGACTAACATGGGTGGTGCACCTACCCCGAAATGGTCACAGGCTTGCTTGGTGTGCATTGGTCAGCGGTTCAGGATCCAAACTGCTTGAGGTCAGTTCAAAAACCGCCCCTGCCATTGCGCAGCTTCTGAAAAGCACCAGTTTGTTTGCACCAAAGATTTGGGTGGAGCTCAAAGAGCTGAGCGCCATCCTGAGAGCACAAAGGAAAACAGAACTCAAAGTTCCCCCAAAAAGCATGGCGGGAGTCCTTGTGGTTTGCCTCTGTGGATGTGGGCAATGCGCAGCAACCCAATCTCATGTCTATGACTGTATGATCACTCAAGTTGCCTCTCCACTTCCCGGTGTCATGCTATACCCTGTGGCCCAATGCCACGGTACGAAAGCACGATCATCTCTCGGCGTCCAAATCGCTGACTGCACCCTCCGCTGGATGCATTCCCCAGGAAGATGCCGACATATACTGCAGAGACCTGAGCCAAATGATTTGCGGCTTTCCGCAGAGTCCCCCAGGTTGCGATTCACCTGGCGAGACGATGAAAACCAAGGCCGGCGCAATGGCGCCCTTCATAAACGATGACAGCTGCCATTCCTTCTGCAAGGACCTGGCATTGGGCTCCTTTTGGGGATATGCCCCTTTTCGGAAGGCTCGAACGTTTCTCTAAAGCTGTGTGCGTGGGTTTCAAAGGGAAGCTGAAAAGAAAACCAATCCGCGAGTGTCCCAAAAAGGTTTCTCAGGTTCGGTATGGAAATTGTGGGTGTCAGAAGGTGGCTTCCGTGTTCCTTCCATTCAAACCAACCTGAACCGGGCTACCAACTCAAAAAACAAAAACAACAACTTCCAAACCAAAAGCCAACCTCCACTTCCAAACCAACCTCAAACCAACCTAGCCCAACTCCACAGCAAGCTGCAAGAAAAACAAACCTCCGCTTCCAAACCAACCTTTAACCAAAAAAAAACGCAACGCTTTCCCGACGTTCCGCAGAGATCCTCGGCAAGCGGGCGCCTCGTCACAGAGCTCACCAGCAGAAGCTCAGCGCCGTCGGCCAGCCAAATGCCCCCGCCCAGCAGCGCCCAGAAAATCTGCGCCGGGCCCATGCCGATGCTCTCGATGACATCCTCGCAGATAAGACCCATTCATCCGGAGCATGCATGAACCATGGTAGATTTCATGCAAAAAACGAAAACAAGAACAAATGGCTTCCTTGTAAGGCCCGGCGGAAAAGATGAAATCTTGCAAGTGGCCAAGCTACATCTATCAGCCCTGGACCACTTCTGGGTCCCTACAAGGGAAAGCGGAGAACAAACAAGACATGGAGATTCATTGGAGCCGTCTTCGAAATCCGAAATCCCAGCCTGGAGCTCGGGCTTGTGCTCGTCCGGCTCCTGACCAACTTGAGCCCGTGGGATACAACCGTGGTGTTTGAAACCCAGCCCAACCCAAAAGAATTTTCATGGGTTGGCTCCCCATGAACAAAAGAAAGGTACCGAAACCCAAAAGCTCAGCCCTTCAAGGCGTTCCAGCCCGTCCTTGGGAGAGAAGGTCTCCTTCGACTTCATCGATGTCCTGTTGATGGCGACGGGCACTGCAAGCCCCTTAAGGACACCCCAAACCGGCCGTCCGCTGCCTAATGTTACGGTGAGTTTCACTCCGCTGTGACTGTTCTAACTAAAGATAGGCCAAACCCAACCATCACGTGTCGGCGTTTTGCCATCCCTTCCGTGTTGGGGGTATCTCTGACTCTTCGTAATGGGCTTTCGTGCTGCCCACCGTATCATATGTCTTATTGTGACCCTGCGAAACAATATTGATATGAATTTGGTGCGCATTCGGAATAAGTGCATATGGGCACCCATAAATTTTACATATATAGATATATATGTTGGTTTTCTGTATTTACTCTATGAACATTTTCGCATATGCATTCGAGGCCGCTTACTCTACCGCTCCTCTCGTGCCACGCTCGCCCAGCTGGGTGTCCCGGGCGTCGGCCTGAGCTCCCAAAAAACGCCCGAGGTCCACGCTGGTGTCCCGTGAAAACCGCGAAAAAACCGGCGGCCTCCACAAAAAAGAGGCAACCCCCAACCATGTGAGGGCCCCAGTTATTTGGTGGGGGTGCACCACCGCCCATCCATGGTGTGTGGCTATGAATTTTACTTCGAACATCATTTAGGTGGTTGGAGTTCTGTCCACCAACCGCTTTTCAGGGGGTCCCCCATTAAAATTCATAGACTGTGAGTGTGTGTGTGTGTGTCTTTCAACTTGGTTTTGGGTCCAGAAGTGGGCAATATAAAATAAGAGCCCAAGCGAAGTGTGCAGCCTTCTACGAACCCCTCCAAGGAGACGCTGAAAGTGTGCATCCCTCCATCCTTTGGAGCTTCTGTTCATACAACGGCACTTTCACTGGCGAGACCCCCCTTCACTGGTGATCTGGCTTTAACATTGACAACTGCCCCGAGATCGACAAATCGACGTGTTCTTGCCACACTTGTTTCTCTCCATCTCTGGAAACCAGTTATCCAAGTCTACACAAAACCTACAAAGAATCAAGAGGGCGGATATCCATACATCCGGGTGATTGCTCATACAGACGCTGCGTCATTGGGCTCAGTTCGCGCAAAGCCAGGCTGAGGCAGGCGCGTGGGCCCAGGCTGCGCGGTGGCGCGCGCACGCTAGGGCGACATGTTTCGATACCAGATGGTCTTTGAGCCAAGGCCCGCTCGCGCCGGCATGACATCCATCCCTCCGACCGACGAACCACAGGTCCTAAGATGAGATCGGCTCGCGGGGAAACCGGCTGCAACCGTTCAAGCGGCTCGGACTCTCGCTTCGGCCTCGCGCGTCGGTTTTTCCCCGCGGGAAGGTGCCAACCAGGTGAGACTCTTTGGTCTTGCGGACTCGGAGCCCATCTCCCCCTAGGCTTCCCGTTTTCCGCAAGCCCAAAGAAACATCACGAGAAGTTCCGAAACACGGGAAACCATGCGAACTGCGAAAGAGAAAGAGACCCAAGACCCAAGACCCCCTGATCTCAGCCCTTGGAGCGCGCTTTGGCACTCAGGGCTCCAGCTGTTTGCCCAGGACATCTGGGTTCGACGCGTCGCCTCGGAACCAGCCCGACACGGCTGCTTGCTGCTTGTACCCACGTGAGTCCCAAGTGCCGTCCGAAAAGGAGTCCTTGCAAGGTGATGGTTTTGGATGCTTGACGGAAACCAATTGGGGATTCACTTGGAGGAGTCCCCCAATTTTTGAGATATACCCACAGCCCTGCAGAATATCAAAGCAGCCGCAAAGGACATCGCACATTTCGTGGAAAATTTAGTGAGCCCCCCCCCAGTCCGTGACCAATCAGCAGTCGCCTGGAGAGGCAAACCGAAGCTCATGGCTTACAGCATGTTTGAGAGCTAAGAAAACAGGGCCTTCTGCTGGCAGGAAGTATTCCTCAAGGCGCATGTTTGAAAAAGGGATGGCACCTTTGGCTGCTCATCTTCAGCAATAACACAACAACTTGCTAAAAATCCTGGTTTCGCCTAGGATCAAAGGATTACCCAAAAGAAAGGCAACTGTCCACTTCTCCGGGTTTCGAGTGTGGCTCTGTTCTGCATGCCCCTGCCAGCCGGGCAGCGGTGAGAAAAGTCATGCGGCAGCTCTCTTTCCGGCCGCAAGGGATCGCCCTTCTCATCTTGCCTTCAGCCGCGCGCGAGCGGACCATTTCTTGAACCTCCAATCCTCGAACCTTACCGGTAGGAATCTAGTCCGGGCGGGATTTCTCCATGTTCCCGGCGAACTTTCACAAACGCTGATGGGACATCGGCTCCAATCTCGCTACTTGTTTTTGTTGATCCCCAATCTACATATATAACGTAGACTAATCTATATATATATATATACAGTTACGCTGTTGATCTTCTTGATCCGATCCCCGTGCCCGGCCCCAAAAAGGGAGGGCGATGGATCGCCCTCCCCGTTTGGCCCAGGGGCTCCAGCACCTTGTCCCAAGAACTTCTGCACCTCGGTTTGCAGAAGGCCACCATGATCATGGCGATGGTCCACAAGAAGCAGACCTCGGCTCGCTGAAAAAAGCATCGGAGGGGGAGGAAAGGCGCTCCTAAAACAAAAAAAAACGCGACGGTGGGAGGGGGGAGAAAAAAAAGATGCCGTGGGGGGGAGGAAAGAGGGAGAGGAGGGAAAGATATGAGCGAGTTCCCCCCCATGTCCCTCGAAATGAGCCACAGACTGCAGAATGTTTTGACCTCCAAAATCGGCCCGAACATCCCCACGTTTGCGGTGCAACACGTAGTGCAATCCGCACGTTGGCTACGAGGGTTATCCAATGGACTGAAGCAAGCCACGTCAAATGCAGCAAAGGTGCAGCGAAGAAAGTGAAGTTCTCGACCCAATCGACATATGTCTGCCAAGGTCCAGTTCACCCTACAGTATCCCTAGGATGCCCATTTAGGAAAGGTGTTAACTCAGCTGACCTACTACAAAGCACACTTATGACAGTGTAAGAACAGTGCCTTGATGGGAGAAGAAATGTTGGCACAAATAATGTGAATAATGCACTCTCCCGCTGCATGCCCCGCAACAGCTCTTCAGTTGCTTCTTTTCCGACGCACCGCGAACTGCCAGCCTCATAGTCGCCGTGAAATCGCCATCCGATCAAAGATTCGAATGTGCACCCAGCTAGGGTAACGATCTGGAGCAACCTTGGCACTGAGCAGGGCCACAGTGTACAGAAACACCAAAAACACCAAAAACACCAAGTGCTAATACACGCCTTCACAGAGTCTGCCACAAAAGGTAGCTTCCGCCGAGTGTCAGAAACCAGTCGGTAAACGTTGAGTAAGGCACGCTCGGAAGGTGGTCCATGACACTGTACTTGAAAGCAACCAGAGTGAGAAGTCCACCACCGTAGACACTGAGCCTGTCGCTTCAGCTCGGAGGCTAGCAAAATGGAGCTTGCATCTATGAAGAGAAATATGCCACTGCTTTTCCTGGATTCGTTCCGTCCTGACCGGATGAAAACCTTCATAACCCCCGCCCCAAGGTCCGGTTGGGAAACTGCACACTGGTGCTTGGGGGTATGGTCGCGGGTGGACTCGATCCCTGGGAAAGGGTGCTCATGACAACTACTCCACAAGTACAAGCTAGTCATGCATGTTTCTAAAAGAAAGAAAGCATGTCCGCCCCCGAAACAAAACCCAGAAAACCAACTACATGTGTCCTCATGTTACCCCACACCGCAAAACATCGGCAGCATGTCTGGCTCCTATCTCACTCCAAACCTTCACATGTCAAGAATGTATATTTCATACCGGCACCCATGTCCACAGTAGATTGGATTCAAATGCATCTACATGCTGTGCAGCAGTGACAAATGCTGCCCAACGTGCCTCCCAACAAACCAAAACAAAGCACGATCCGCCCGTACCATTGTTGCGTGTCGCTTTTGTTTGCATCGTTCCAGTGGACATGTTGGGCAAGATGTCCGACACGCTTGAGCAACATGTAGCAGCTGTTGCAATAAATCAAAAGACTAACAACAAAATCCTCCTGGTAGGGGGATTGACTTGGTGTCGTTTTGTGTTTTGTTTGTTTGGTTCAATGTTGCGCATCATTTGCCAGACGCTGCGCAACATCTCCAACTACTCCACAAGTACAAGCTAGTCATGCATGTTTCTAAAAGAAAGAAAGCATGTCCGCCCCCGAAACAAAACCCAGAAAACCAACTACATGTGTCCTCATGTTACCCCACACCGCAAAACATCGGCAGCATGTCTGGCTCCTATCTCACTCCAAACCTTCACATGTCAAGAATGTATATTTCATACCGGCACCCATGTCCACAGTAGATTGGATTCAAATGCATCTACATGCTGTGCAGCAGTGACAAATGCTGCCCAACGTGCCTCCCACCAAACCAAAACAAAGCACGATCCGCCCGTACCATTGTTGCGTGTCGCTTTTGTTTGCATCGTTCCAGTGGACATGTTGGGCAAGATGTCCGACACGCTTGAGCAACATGTAGCAGCTGTTGCAATAAATCAAAAGACTAACAACAAAATCCTCCTGGTAGGGGGATTGACTTGGTGTCGTTTTGTGTTTTGTTTGTTTGGTTCAATGTTGCGCATCATTTGCCAGACGCTGCGCAACATCTCCGAACGAAGCTGACGACCTCGAGTATGTTTCCTTTTCGCTGATTTGTCCTGCTGGACGGGTTGATTCTTGGCAAAATTAGGAAACTGGTCATTGCTGGGGTTTGAGACCTTTGGCCAGCTTTTCTTCCTGGACTAGTTGTTTTGTGCAATCAGCGGACAGAGACAGTTTGTGCAAGCTTACTCGAATCATTTAGGCCCAGGCAGCAGACAAACAAACGCAGCTGCGTACAAATGGTTTGGTAGGACAGAGTTGAAAGTGAGCGGGCTGTTTGTTTGGGAAAGGTAGACTGGATACAAGCCAGGAAATGCCCACCGTTTGCCCCATCGCTGGTGCTCGCATGTTGCAGCAACATGTCAGAATTGTTGCGACGCTTGGATACATTTGAATCCTGAAATATATAGTCTTGACATGTAGATGTTTGGAGTGAGATTGCAGCCAGAAATGCGGGCCAGCAATGAGCAAAAGGAACGCATTGTCTAGCTTGCACTGAGTCGATCTATCGGTCTGTCTGCTGAGTTTGCGAAGCAGTCCAGGAAGGAAAGTAGCCAAGCGGAGCAGCATGTGTTTGTGTACGTGTGACAAGGAAGCCGGGGGACACTCTGCAGCTCAACGCTGTGTACTGCAAAGCACTGGGAAAATAGTTCAAACTCTGGCTTCTTCCAGATGGGGCGAAAGACCCTCAGACTTCGTCTGGTTGCTTCCTTTTCGTGTCCGTTTGGCTTCCCGCGAAGGAAAGGTCGTCTCTCGGAGTCGCCTGTCGCCCATGTCTTCGGGGCGCATGGCCAGGGGGGCGCAAGATGCGATGGTGATCCTCGCTCAAAGTCGACTTCATTTTCATCGACCCACTGACTCCGTGTGGACCCACCCCTTGGTTTATTTTGGGTGTTGCTTCAAAACCAAAGGTCACGCTCCCAAAGGACACCGCACGAGACGTGTCCGTCACCGCGCCAGATCGGCTCTTGCCGCCATGCAAGCCAAGAATCAGGTAAGTCACGAAGAAAATCTGCCGAACGTAGAATGTATGACAGCGCTCAATGTGCAAATCGAACTGAAACCTGACCAATCCGCTAAGGTTTAAGGCTTCACGCAAGAAACTGCCCAATCCGACTCAGGAACTGAGCACAACGCTTGCTGCAAATGGTTGTGTCTTGCCCATCATGTTGATGATCATCTCCAAGCTTTTGCAGCGCTATTATGTAACGAGAATGAGGCCTCCTTGGTTGACGGACACCGGGGCCGAAGGTCTGGAAATGTTACAGGCTGTTGCCAACCAGTTGTTCAACGGGCGCGGAAAGGGTCACCATTGTATCATTTTAAAGCCACATCACCCGACACTGGTTTGGTAGCACGAATGCCGCGACTGAGCTGCCTTGGTTGCCCAATCCTTCCAAAAGATTGCCGAGGATGTTCTTGAACCAATCACGAGCTACCAAGGGGAAGGTTTGCATTCCTCCATGCAAGTCTCTATCTCCCATGTCAAGCCAAGCTCAAGCTAATGCCGTGTGGAAGCACGTCCCGCTAAAGCTCTTCTCCCAGTTAAGGTCTCGTCTCAAGACGTCCAC